GTTTCCGTGGCCCGGCCAACTGCCCGGCATGTCAAACCCGTTATGGCTGTCGGTCAAGCGCTGTGGTTCACATGGTGAACAAGCATGGACCCCAACACGCGCTCAGGCCTCACAGAACGTCAAGCATCCAACAACTGAGGAGCCGCCGGACATCCCGCCAGAACCCCCTCGCCCAGAGACAGGGACTGTATGCACAAAATCCGACACGGCAAGCGACCCCAACCCGGCCACAAAGAAGCGTTGAGGAAAATTTGTTTGCTATACACGGTCGGCAACGTATTAAGCCCATTGGGGGTGGGCTAACACAGTACATTCGCTACATTCCAACACCTGCAATGCAATGATACAGATCACAAACGACCGCGGGAGATGGAAGAGAAGGCCAAAACCTTGCCTTTTCAGCGAGGCCACTGTTAATCTGAAGCCCTAAATAGGGCGGCGCTCTTATCCCACATTCGTGCCAAGCATCGCCCCCCCAGAAGAACCGCCACGAGCAGCGGCACCACAACCCGCAGAATGTTCTCCGATTCGTCAAAAGCTTATTGGCAATGCTGTAGGAATGGCGCCCTACATGAAATACAAGCACCGCGATAAACTGAGCAAGGCGACGCAAGACCTACAAAGAGGCATGCCAAAACCCCTCGAGCGTGAAAGGTGGGAAGGTCCCGCTTTGTACGCTGCTTCCTTAAAGCAGTAAGAATGCAATGAAACAACGCCACGCCTTCCAAAGCACAAGCGGCAGGAGCCACCCCTCACCCCGCAAACGCTGATAAAGCACCAGTAAAAAATACCCATTACCGCCAGGGCGGCGGATGGAAAAACAACGCCTTGTGTGCTTGGAATGGTTCGCTCATACCAAGCCTGCCGCATCACACTGCAGAAGGTTAGATGAGCAGCCTGCTCTTACTAAGCCACCCTCCTCTACAGAGTCTCAGATATCACTTTGCTGTGGGCAGGGGAAATGTGGGGAACTTGTGCCTCCCCCAAAAGATTCTATAGCACATTCTTGTTGAGAAAAAGCTTTCTGCTCAGCGACCCCCCCTCCGATAGACGTAGCGGCAATCATGCGGGATACGGTATAGCTAATGTCACCCTTTAAGCTCCGTTAGTTTGCAGATTTTTGCCGGGATCGGTGGCAAAGTGCGCCGCCCCTCTGTGGCGATTCGCCCAACGAGGGCTAGACGGGCCAACGGAATTCAGGGCGTTGGGTAAACACCCGCCCGGATCCTTCGGCACCCGCCCCGCAACGGAAACGCCCAGCAAAACGCAAAACAAAATGCCAAAACCCCACCAGATGCGAAACGAAAAAATAAAAATAAAAAAAAACAATGACAAACGGCTTCCCGCCATGTGGGCGCTGGGCGTTTGGCGTGTGCCGGGAATGCGCGGGGGGAATGGTCTATGCCTTACCTTCCCCCATTGGGTAAAGAGAGGGGGCAGAAGAGACCCCATACCCAATCCCCATCGCGAAAACAATGCCCCTAGTTTGCATAGTTGGGGGTCTTCCACTAACATCCAAACATTCAAATTATAAGGAAGTCAAAAAGCCTGTAATCAACTGACGAAAAAGAGGTGCCGAAAACGCCCTTAACCCGCCTCCCGCGCTTCCATTCGCAAGCCGCTCCCCTTTCCAATGTCCGTCTGTAAAACTTTAACCCACGTGAGATGTCATCCGCAGGATTACTTTCCGATGCAACATGGCCCCATGTGGTGTTTGTGCCTTGTTCGCGCAGCGCCCTTTCGATAGGCCCCGCCCCCCAAACCAGCGCATCGGAACGCACGCTGCCTTTCTCCATAATGCGCATTACTGTCGTGTTGTCGATGCAAATGTGGCGTGTAGTGGGCGACGCCCCTTGAAAGCGAGCAGGGCAAAGTCGGCGGCCCTCGCTTCGGCCTGTGCAATAGTGTAGGGGCCCCGTTCCCATGCGCCGCCCCCTGTGACCCACACTTCCCCGCTGCCCTTAAACAAAAACCCGCCCCACCCATATAAGGAGGCGCCGGCCACTAAAGCCCCTGAAGCCAGTAAAGCCCTCAGGGGGTTTGCAGGAGTATTTTGCAATAAAGTATCCAACCATTCCCGCCCAACCTTCAGAGCAAAGGGGGGTAGGCTGCCAGATTTTGGGCCTCTAACAGCTTCCCGCTGAGTCACGGCAGGCTTCGATGAATCATTTTCAAGAAGAAATAATGCTGAAAAAGCGAACCCCCCAACCCCCGCAGCATACACCATACACGGCGTAAGGCTTCCAATTCCCCCCACTGAAATTTTGTGGAGGGGTGTAACGCCCTTCAGTTTCCGTAGCGTTTTCTGACTGAGTGGCGCCGTCTTAGCCGTATGGTTGAAACAAACCCCTATGAATCCATAACGCGCGGTGGGGGCTTCATGCCCCCCAACTGCCGCACCGTATTCGCGTTTTATTTTCTATCATAATGTTTCCCCCCAAAAAAAAATCTACGCTTTTACGCGGCCCTGTGATACGAACATTTTCTATCCATACGTGTAAAGTTGGCTCCAGCGGGGCTTCACAATGCGGTTTGGCGGCTTCTGGGTGGCCAGTCAAAAACTCTTGGGATAATACGCGCGATTTTCTGGACTACATTTATGCCCCATTGGAAGTCGTGTGAACTCTACCAGCCCCCCCCTTTTCCATACAAAAACGGAAATTTCTGCGTGTTTCAGCTGGCAAGTCTACCTGGAAAAAAAATTCCTTTAGATCAAAAAGGGCAGCTGCCCCATCATAAACCACAGCCAGGTACTGGAAAATATGCCCCAGAGGCACCATGGCCTCGTAGCCCTCTTGATCCTTTTTTGATTTTGGCTAGGAAATGAAACGTCGCCGTGGCCCTGGCGGTTTTCTTCCACGACTGCAAAAGGCACCACTCACCCGGTAGCGGGTAGCTTTGGTGCGGTTTGAATAATAACAGCCTTCTTCATAACCTGGGCATCCCCTTCTGCCATCCTCAAGAGGGGCTCTCGTTCTCCCGTCCCCAATTTAGCTGGATGTTGCGCCAAGCCCCACAGTGTGTTAAACCGTTCCAGAACCTTGGAATTGAGTTGGCTCCAGACCCAGTGCGGCGAAAGAGTATCCACATCTACCTGTTGTAACGGAAACCTTCTTTCACCGTTCTTATCGGCCACCCGTGTGCGATGGGTACGTCGCAAAATGCTGTGCCCCTTAAAAAAGTTCTCCCTGCTCCTGCCCTCTGTCCGGATAGGCCCATGGAGACATCGCCCATTTGCCGACCTCGTCCAAACATATGCCGTCAGATGTGCCATCTTGTTTCCCAGGGCGACCCAAGGCCCTATGCAACGAGCCGTGCTACGTGGCAGCTCTATGGGATCTGCGTGTTTCCGAAACTGAGACAGTAGTTGAGGGTCGAGATCGCGTTCGATCACCGCTGCGGCTGCACACGCCAGTGCGCCTCTCCTTTTATGGAATGCGCTGTCATTTGGCGTGGGCGGGTCCATTTTCCATGCCTCTTGTGGTTGGCGTTGTGGGCCGCCCCCNGGGCGGTGTGGGCCCCCCCCCCCCCCCCCACCGTGACCTTGTTGACGCCCCCCGCTCTTTTTGCACCTTCCCCCCGATAACCGCGCATCGCGCCGCTCTCTGAAGGCCGATTTTGAATCTCTTTGAGAGGGCCCCCAATCTACAATGAGGGCTTTATTGTTTTAAGGGGTGGGGGATGAAATTTTCCTTTTGCCGTAGGGCGATTTCGCCCCGCCGTCTGGCTGTGACCCAGGCGGGTCGTGGGGCTACCCGATCGTTTTCGAAGCCAACAAATCGCCGACGAGACCCAATTCCCATCTCTCCATGGGGCGGGCCTGTTTCATGGGGTTTGCGGCCGCCTTTCGTTGAAGACCGGCCAAAAACATCTGGGCTGGTGACCCCCCCGAGGCCAGTAAGCTCAACAAAGTTCTTGTGTATTGCACCGCGCTGCTCTTGGCGAGTTGTAGACTTACAATAAAAAGAGGAACGTTTTCCTCCCGAACCTCGAGATCGTTCCTTTTCGCGAAGTCGCAGAATCTTCGCATGATGG